CAACCCACCGTTGAAAACAAGAAAAAAAAAAAAAAAAAAAAAAAAAAAAAAAAAAAAGCACAGTATCTGGCCCCAAATAAACCTTCCTGGTAAGGTACTTATTGCTTTCATTCTTATTGACAGTGAGTGATCCTATCTTCTCCCTTCAACCCTTTCACAAGCTGCCACAAAAGGGGGGGAAAATAAAAAAGCATCAGGCAATAATTATTCCACCAAAAATTTCAGCTACAACACTCAGTTTTCTTTTACTAAAAACATAACTGATTTGTTATTTGGAAGCTTTTATGAAATTTATTACTAGTTTCTTCAGCTGCAAGTGTGACTTTGTACTTAAGGTCAACTGAAGTGCTTTGGAAAAAGTAGATATGTGGTAGGTAAAAACTTTCTATTCTCTTACTTCCGGGTCTTCTTATGGGTTTTTATATGTAGATGGTTGGAGTTACCTGAACACTGAATGAAAGGAGTTAAACATACAACAGTTACTGAACTACTACTGGCCCAGACCCTCATTTCTAAACATCATCTGTCAATAATACAAGGAGCCAGAGCTCCCTGAAAATGGTTGATTCCACGGCTGGGTTGGAAAAGCAGACCAGCCTAGAACATCTTGTGCTGCCAAAAAGTAAGGCAGTGCTTTTTTTTTTTTTTTTTTTTGCAGAACCAGGAATTGAACTCAGGACCTTATGCTTTAGAGGCAGGTGTGGAACTAAAGAGCTAAATCCCCAGCCCCGCTCAAAATTTGATAGAGGCTTTAAAAGACCACAGGGAACAGCTACTACCACACTTAATAGTAAAACATTAGATGGTTTTCCTCTAAGATTGGGAACAAGGCAGAGCATCCACTCTCCACATTTCTACTAGCTCCCATACTGATATGTATAACCAGTGCAATAAAGCAAGAAAAATAAATCAAAGATATATAGGTAGCAAACAGAAGTAAAACTATTTGCAATATACAAGACCTCGTGTGTAGAAAATCCTACAAAATCTACATAAATCCTTAGAACTAATAAGCAAGTTTAGGAAGGTTGTAAGATATAAAATCACTATGCAAAAAATTTATTTCTATATAATAGCAATAAACAAATAAAAATAAAATGAAATGGGGCTAGAGGTGTAGCTCAGTGGTAGACACTTGCCTAGCATGCCAAGGCCCTGGGTTCAATCCCCTGCAAAAATAAATAAGGCAAATAATTCTACTCAAACTAGTATCAAAAAGAATTAAATTACTTGTAGAGGTACAAGATCCCAACAATGAATGTAACTGTACTGTATCCCTAAAATGTACCAATAAACTCAATTAAAGCTGAAAAAAAAAAGAATTAAATTACTTAGGAATAATTTCTTTTCCTTTTTTAGGCTCTGAGTTCAATCCCTAGTACTGAAGAAAAAAAAAGGCTCCTTCTGACCAAATATGGAACAAAGTGAACAATAAAACTATCAGATTAAATACAAGAATCCATGAATACAAACTGATATCAACAAATAAAGAATGAAGGGAGCCGGGCATGGTGGTACATGCCTGTAATCCCAGCACTTGGGAGGCTGAGGCAGAAGGATGCTGTGAGTTCAAGACTAGCCTGGGCTACACAGTGAGTTCCAGGTCAGTCTCAACTACATAGTGAGACCCTGTATCAAAAAACCAAAAAACAAAACAAAACAAAAAAAAGTGTCAAACCCATTAAGGACAAAGAAAGGCTAAGGAACTATTCCAGATTAAAGGAGACTAAAAAGACATGATTAGGAATACAATGTATGATCACAAGCTAGATAAACAACATTGTTGGAAAACTGGCAGTTTGAATAAGGCTGGTTAGATCTGGGGCAAAGCCAATCAAGCAAGTGGGTGTACTCTGTCAGTCACAAGACCCAGGGAATGTGTGCAGAACACAGAATCCAAGATGACCCTGCAGTTTCTGTACGTTATACCTGGAACAAATCTGAAAGTGCTCTTTGAGTCTTCATTTATATCTGGCACAAAACCAAGTAAGCTTCCTAAATTTGAGGCCAGGACAAGTGAGTTTCTGATAGGACAACCATTGCAAATGTCTTATTTGCAAGCGGGACAAGCTAACTCCAGATACAAACGAGTTCCCTCCCATTATCATGGCCCCTGTGAGTCTGTTCTCCAGCCCACTCTCACTCTGCAGAGAGTACTTATTTTCCACCTTCAATATACTGCAAATAAACCAGAAACCTTTCTCGTGTGTCTTGTCCAATTCTTTATTCAGGACACCAAGGACCTGGGGCAAGAATCTCTTTGGGATCCAAAAGCCAATACAGTATTTTAGCAATGTTAATTTCCTGATTTTTGATCATTATACTGTGGCAAAGTATGAAACTTTCCTGGTTTTACAAACATTTAGGCAGTTGATGTTTTGTTTGGTTTGGTTTGGTACTGGGAGTTGAACTTGGGACCTTGCACTTGCAAGGCAGGTGGTGGAACCACTGAGCTAAATCCCCAGCCCCATTTGGGTAGTTTTTAAGAAATATCCCAAAGTAAAGGAGCAATCTGTCTGCAACTTTCAAAAACTTCATAAAAGAGTTCACACATTTATCTATGAGAATATTAATGAGTAATAATAAAACAAATGTGGGGTCAGGGATTTAGCTCAGTGGCATTGCACCTGCCTTGCAAGTTCAAGGTCCTGAGTTCAATCCCCAGTACCAGGGGAAAAAAAAAGACAAAAAAAAACAAGTGTCGTAAAATGTTAATATTTGATGAATCTGAGGAAAGGGTAAACAAAAATTATTTGTACTCTCCCACCCCTATACCAGCAATTGAACCCAGGGCCTCATGTACACTAGGCAAATGCTTTCCCACTGAGCAGCATTCCAGCCCTTGTTTAAAATGTTTTGACACAGGAACCTACTAAATTGCCCAGGCTAACCTTGAACTTGCAATCCTTCTGCCTCAGCCTTCAAAGTAGCTGAGATGAGTCACCATCCTCAGCAATGTACTATTTTTTACAACTTTTTTGCAAGGCTGAAAATTTTTAATAAAGTAATGACTAAAGAGAATCTTTGTTCTCTTCAGAACAGAAGGCAGGCAGCACACAATGAACTTCAACTTTTCTTTAAAACAGATTTTACCAGTGAACAACCCAAGCCAGTGGACTCACATCTTGCTGAATTACCCACAGTGGGCTTCACTAGGGGACCTGCTTGTCATCCCTAAGGTACAAGTGCAAAGGTCACATGCCTTTTCTAAGAGACCCCACCCCTAGCAGAAGTATTTTAAATGTAGCCACCTTAATATGTTTTTTTTTTGGTACCACAGATCGAACTCAGGTCCTTGTGCTTGCAAGGCAGGCGTGGAATCACTGAGCTAAATCCGCAGCCCGCCACCTTAATATGAATTAGTCATCCAACACAAACCATCCCAAACTGCCAGTGAATTTGCAAACTGTGACTCAAGGAAGGCTGGGTGAAATACATGGGGGAGGGGGCATGTCTTTGTGTTTCCCACCTTGATTGAAACAGCAAGGAGTATGCACAGGTGTCAAAATTATCAACAGATGAGTTTACTCCACCATATGCTCTGTATTTAATGTTTGTGCATTTATAATTTATTTAATTTTTGTTTTGATCTTTCTTGTAGAATTAGCCCAATTCAGTTCAATGTCACCATAAAAACTGCTTTTACAACTTTGGGAGGAGGTTGAAAGTGATTCATCAGGTGATTTGGCTACTGATGATGAATTGGATCATATAAGCCAAAGAAGTTGGCTAAATAAATACTAATAAGTTAATACTTCATTTTATTAATATTTTCCTAAGTACACATTTTATAATATAAATATGAGTGCTAGACACCTACTTTACACTCCTTGTCACAAAATTTAACCTTATTAAAGGAGAACCCAAATGACAGAATCTGGCTAATGAAGTTGATTAGGAGCACTTCTCTGGGGCCCATCAACACACAACAGAGCCAGGTGTGGTGGCACACACCTGCATTCTTCTGAGGCAGGAGGATCACTGCTGAG